GCAGCAGAGGTGGCAGAAGAAAGCAGTCTGGTTGTAGTTGGAGATGGCGGTCTTCACTGCGCTCTTGGCCCTCTGGAGCCATCGGATTCCTGCCCATTCTTTTGCCTCCAGATAATTCTGTGGGGTCCCTAATATTATTCCATGAAATACTCTTTCTGCTTAGAAGACAGTCTCTATTTCTGCTTTTTCAGTTTAAGTAACTTATGCTCCAGCCAGAGAGAACACAGATGTTTGGGCTTTGCTTGATAATAATTATTGTTGAATCTAACTCCCCTTTGTGCAATTTTCTTCTTTCCACATTAACTGGAGAGTAGGTCATGATTACACAGTCTTTGAATATTTCCAGTGCCTCTAATAGTAACCTTGGGTAACAGAGCAGTTTGTGAATGCGATTTGACTTCACATATAGATCCATTCACTTAGCCAGCTCATGAATTCAGGTCCATAGGAGACTATATTTAATAATGTGAGTTATTAAGTGGGGTACTGGGAACATCTTAGCTACTGCCAGTCCATTCTTAGGACCTGCTCTCCTATGAACACTCACAAGATGGACAGGTAGACTCATGAATGTGGGAACCAGGTATCCTTGGACCCTACCTCAATAAGGAAATAGGATTGTTCTTACTTCATTAAGGGCTTCCCTATAAAACCTGAATGATTTATTGTACATTGTAAGTTTTAATAAAACTTTAATGAATTATGAGTATGGTGTTGTCTTGCCAACATGGTAGTCAAACAACTTTGCATGCAGGACAGGAATTAGTTTGAGGAGGCACTAGGTTGTGACTTTCAAGTAATAGCTTTGGTTTTATGATTATAGGAATTCATCTTATTAATTCATAGTCCGGCCATTATTCTTTCTCTATTGCTAAATCATGGTCTCCCTGGTCCTAAAATGTATGCCTATTCTCTTTGAAAAAAGTCAAAAGCCTTTTTGATTATAAAATGATGGACCCAGTTTAGACGTATAAAGGAAACTAAAAATACTTCTTTTTTCTTCTGCCTCTTTGGTTACTTGTGTATGCTGAGCGAGAGTCAGGATAATGTCTATTGAATACTCTGAATGTAGAGAGTTCTGAAGGGTCTTCCAGATTGTCCACTGAACCAGCCATCTACTGTGTTTAACTACCTGTCTGGTGTTTGAATCTGCGAAGGCACTCTATGAGTGTCCCAGTTATGCCGGAGTAACCCCACAACAGCATAATTGACTATAAGGCACCAACCACATTCTCAGATGACTTGTGTGTTTGAAAATGTCTTCTAAAAATGGAGCCTACATCTCTCTTCCGGCATTCCTATCTTCTGGTCTTGATTGATTTTTGTATATTAATTTATACTCAGCAATTTTTGCATTCCTATATGATGCTAACCTATCTGGGATGTCTGAAATTTCCGTTAGTTAATCATATCTGCAATTGAAATTCTGTTTCTTCCTTTCCTTTAATAAGTTTTTATTGCTTTGTGTGAGGGGGCTAGGGAATCAAACCCAGGGTATTGTACATGCTGAGCCAACACTCTACCACTGAGCTGCACCCCCAGCTTTCCTTCCTTGTTTTATTGCATTGATCAGGACTTTCACATGTGAGACAGAAATGGTGATAACAAGGATCCTTATTTTGTTCCTGACTACTGTGGAAAAGTACACAGAAAGATTTATTAAATGTTAATTTACTAATTTATTTTCATTTTTGGTACCTGGGATTGAACTCTGGGCCACTGAGCCACTTTCCAGCCCTTTTTTATTTTTTATTTTGAGACAGGGTCTTGCTAGTTGCTTAGGGCCTCACTAAATTATTGAGGCTGGCCTGGAACTTGTGATCCTTCTACCTTAGACTCCCAAATCATGTTGGCAAGACAACCCCATACTCATAATTCATTAAAGTTTTATTAAAACTTACAATGTACAATAAATCGTGTAGGTTTTATAGGGATTACATGCATGCTCCACCACACCTGGCTAAATGTTAAATTAATTTCAGGGATAAATCTGAGCAAGTCATGGTTTGTTGTTATTATTCTGATTTGCTAATGTTTTACACAGGAATTTCATGTTTTTAGTTGAGATTCATCTATAAATCTTCTTTTTGTCCTATTATTGTTCAGTTTTGTTATCAAGGTTCGTGTGGTAGGTTCTACCAATTATTTTCCCAGAAGTCACCTTCCTGAGTCAGCTCTTTTTTCTTCATTTTCTTTCCTGAAGGCTGTTTTACTATAAAATAATAAAGAAAACACTGGCATGAAATCATATAAGCAACTGATCCTCTATGTTAAAAGGATTTTATTTTTGGCCTTGGCATCAACTGGGAAACAGCACTGCAAGAATTGAGAGGGTCCTCCTCCCTTTCTTAAAAGATCATACCCCTCTTGAATACGAAAGAGGGTCCCTTGAACATCCTTCTCTTGGGAGTTGGGGAAAGACCTTATGTTTAATTGGTCAGAAATAGGTCACATGATCTTACCTCCAAGGGTAATGGAATAAGTGAGTATCTGAGATTTTTATTTAGTTTGACATCAAAAATATATGTTTTCTGTTTGGCATACCTTTTTTTTTTTTTCTTTCTATCTATTTTATGATGCTGAAGATTGAATCCAGGGGCACATGCCTGCAAGGCTAATGCTCTAACACTGGACAACATCCACAGCTGGCTTTCCTTTTTAATTCCCCTGCCTTCTAGGGATTGATTATGTTTTCTTTCAGAAGTTATTTATTGTTTTACGACTCCCTCACTTTACATTCTGAGAGTACTTACCTGCCTTAAAAAGACTAAATCAACAAACATTTCTCTGCCATTCCTAAACAATATTAGCACCTTAGAGTGTTTTTGTTACCATAATTACCTTTATCTTCTGTTGTCTATTACTTAGATTCTATAAATATACCCCAAATTAGTCATTGTTAGTATTTTTAAAACATTCTCTGCTCATTCATATTTGCTCAAATGTTTACCAATTTATTTATTACTTCTAGATAACTCTTTCCTTCCTGAACTCAGTTTCCTCTTACTTAAGTACATCCTTCAGTAGTTCTTTCAATGTGGATCTCTGGGTAGTAACCCCTCTCAGTCCTTGACTGATTTTTATGCCCGATTCTCAATTCTAACTTCCCATTTGTGTGGGCCTGAGGCCACATTTCCTGCCCCCTTATGGGATGACATCCCTGACCCCAAGTTGTCAGGGCCTACGCTGGATTCTGATGTCCCATGGCTTTTTCATCACTCACTGGTATGCTTACCACTGTGGTTCAAGTTTCCCCCGTTCTCTATTACCTGAGGATTTCCCCTTCTTTGTTTTGAGTTCAGCTTTATATTGTTATATTTCATCCTGTGTTTGTCATAGGAAGTGGGGGAGGGTCTACATTAATCTTTTTAGTTACTATTACTGGAAGTCCACATATTCTATTTATAACAAATTTCCTTTTTACTGATGTTTATGACTCTCCTTTAAAATAAATATCATATATTTTGATAGAGAAAACAGATATGACAGAGACAGCTGGATACTTCTTATTCTGTTTCAGCAAAAGTTACAAAGTTTCTAAAATTTTTCTTGATTTTTGGTACATAGAGAACATTCCCCAGGCAATAACTTAAGAGAATGTAATCGCCTGCCAAGAAATGGAATTTTCCATAGTTTCTATTTTCCTGCATTTCCTTCACTTCTTCTTGCTCTACAGAGGTGATCCCAAGGGGGAAAACTGTTCAATATTTGCTTCACACCCTCCACATGAAGAATGCCAAACCTCATATAGAGAAATCTGTCTCTGTAAGGAAGCGATCCTCAGGTCAGACCCAGAGCTCAGAGATTCCTTGTAAATCAACAGCTGGTAGAACTGGTTCCAAATCCCGGGAATTCACAGCTTCTAATAAATGAATGGGATCCATCTCATTTGCATTTCATTATGACTCAGGAATTCCCTGCTACTGCATCTCTGGGCAGATAAAAAGGCTTTGGTTTTATCAGCCCCAGGCCATTGCCCCAAGATACTGGCCTGGAACTTCCACCTGCACTGCTAACAGAACCCAAAGTACAATGCAGAATGGCCTATTTCACCCTGCCAGAGAGTGAAGCCCATGTTGGAATGGTGAAATCCAAATATGGCTCCTCTGAGAATCGTTTGTGTACATACAAGTCATGGAGAATGGATGAATATTCACAGGGTCAGTGAATAAACTGGGGGTGCTGTCCAGCAAGTAAGTTGGAAAGGCTCTGAATAATCACAAATAGGCCAACCAGAGAGGCCACAGCTGGGTATAAAGTCAGCTGTGGAAAAGCTAATACCACACTGGTTTGCTGGGGTTGACAGCTAACTTTAGTACAACGTATTTCATGTGACCTAGGAAAGAAGTGAAGGGAAGAAGGAGGCCTGGCTGGGTGTACTGGGTGTGGATAAGATCAGACGAGCCCTAATGATCAATTGTGCCACCAGCGATAAGAAAACAGCAAAAGATTAAGAATACATTTCACAAAACAAATGGTATTTTTGCATTAGAAAATGATGGTTTCTGATTCCTTTCCAATGCAGAGTGACAGCCTCTACTTGGGAAAAGTTGAGTTCACTATCACTCTGGTCACAGGTGCCTATTCATTTTGTCATTTCTCTTTGTGGACACCTGAGTAGCTGCTTGACAGTAAATAGAAATCCACTGCCACCCTCAGACTTTCCCTACAATTTCTAGGTATCTTTTTCTATAGTTGACGCCAAACAAGGGACAAGACTAAGTCATTTGATTCTTAAGGTCAGATTTCATCTTGTGCCATCCAAGGGCGGGAAAGGGAAGGGGTAAGTTCCACTGAAAATGCAGCTGGAGTCCATTTCACAGAATGCAAGGAGGGTGGGGTCTGTTTTTGGAAGCAATGAGATTGCTGGCTTTAGAGGGTGGGTGAATGGCTCTCCAAGTGACCTTTTCTCTCCTGGACACTCACAGCCTTTATCTCAATGGCACCACGGGCTCAGGTGCGAGGGATTCCTGTGTGTATCGCCCACTGCCATGACTTACCTGTTGAGATACACCCGTTTCTCCGTGAACTGCCCATTGCCATGGTGAGGGTCCTCGAAGGGCTCATTCTGGACGACCTCCACCCCTTCTCCTCGGTCACTCTGTTCGTGGCTGTGCTTGCTGATCATGTACAGCTGTCCAATTTTGTACTACAAAGCACACGGAGACAGAGACAAAGAGGTCAGCCCCCCAGCTTGCCTCTGACAAATCCCCCTCCCACCGTGGCGCCAGAGCAACTAATGACATCAGCACCTTCTGCCGAGAAAAGAAAGCAGACACTCGTGCCTAATGTGACTTTTCTCTGGGAGCTAGGAGTGCCTAATGTGACTTTTCTCTGGGAGCTAGGAAGAGAACTAGTGTGAGCAGAATGCAGAAACGGCATGTTCCTGCAAATGTTCCGCATCACCTTGGCAAGTGCTCCCTGGGGTGGCTGGCAGTCTTTAAGGTTCAGCGCTGACCAGCCCTTCCACAGCAGCAGGGGAGGGGAGTGCAGGAGTCTCGCGTTCCATCCTGGTCCTAAGGGTTACATGGAGCTAATATCCTATTTGGCTTGGCCAAAGGCTGCCTAGGGTGTGTTGCTTCTGTCCCTGCTTTCTGCCTAACCAGCAGGATTGCTGGACGTGGACTATTATGTGCCTCTACTACCCCTGGAGGTGCTCATCTCTCCTGGAGGCCCTAGTATAGCAGTTCTCATAGGCAACTGGACACCACCTGGAAACTTTTTATTTTTATTTTTTCCCCAGTTCAGGAACTAAACCCACGGAAGCTTAACCACTAAGCCACATCCCCGGCCCCCCTTTTTTTTTATTTTTAGATAGGGACTAAGTTACTTTGGGCCTCACTAAATTGTGAAAGCTGGCCTCAAACTTGTGATCCTCCTGCCTCAACCTCCAGAGTTGCTGGAATTACAAGTGTGCACCACTGTGCCTGGCTTCCTGGAAGCTTTTTGAGGGGAGAGAGGGGCGGGTACTGGGAATTTAACCCAGAGGTGCTTAACCACTGAGTTACATCTCCAGCCCTTTTCATTTTGAGGCAGGGTCTCGCTAACTTGTTGAGGCTGGCTTTGGACTTGTGATCCTCCTGCCTCAGCCTCCCAAGCTGCTGGGATCCTGGAAGCCTTTTCAAGCTCCAAATATCCAAGCCAACAATGGCTGGAACCAAGTCCAAGAACCTAAGCTCTAGAAGGGCGCCATCACATGAGAACCAACCTCAGTATCTTTAACTCCTTTTCATTCAACTCCACTGTAGGTGCCTGGCCTCCCAGCCCAAGTCCCAGAAGCCACATGTCCTACTCTAAAAATGACAAAATGGAGAAACATACAATAGGAACATTTTCTATTCTTCAGGATGTTTCACTCTCCTTCCTGCCTCTCTGAAAATGCTGGGGCCAGCCGGCATTTCGCTCCCCAGTGCACTTTCAAAACGACAAAATTATTTTGATGGGGTGAGGAGACAGGAGGCAGGAAAACGATGTTTGCATGAGAAACTAGTCTGTTGAGGGTCAGAGGCAGAATGATGTGACCCTGCTCAGTCCCTCCTGCAGATGAGGCGTGAGGTAACACAGACAGAAGTCATTGCCACCAAGACTCTGAGACTTGGGAGTGGGGCCTGAGTCTGCAGCAAGCTAATGACGACTCTGGTTTGTTCTCAAAAGGACTCTGGCCAGACATCTCCCCAGCCTACGTGCATAAGAGAGAAATGAATGAGCCAGCAGTGTACACGCGGTGGAAGGACCCTCTCGTGCTGAGGCAGGTGCAGGGAGGGGAGTGTGAAGAAGCTCCAAGCTGAGGGACCAGGCCCAGTAACCATGACGACAGGAGTGGGCTGGAGCTGGCTGGGTCTTCTCTAAGGACTATGCTTCCCATCTGGGCCACACCCCTCTTCAGAAAGGTCTGTGTTTAAAAATGCTTTCAATATGAGTGCATTTGTGCAGATACAGGGAGAAGACAGTGCTGAGGATAAGAGCAGGAAGAGGAAACTGGAAGATCAAATCCATTTTAAAGATGAATTAGGATCAGGATCAAAAGCTTGACCTGGCTTCCCTGAGGTCCAGTTCTGCTTTTACTTTTGTTTCCAAAGACTACAATGCTCAGGGCTGAGTTGTAGCTTAGTGGTAGAGTGCTTGCCTAGCATGGGTGAGGCACTGGGTTTAATTCCAGCACCAATATAAATAAACAAAAATAAAGGCCCCAAAAAGGAAAAGGAAAAAAAAAAAAAAAAGACTATAATGCTCTTTCAAAGTGGGCAGTAAGAACAAGCTCACAGATTGGAGATTTGCGAGCTATACCTTGAGATCAATGCCCCACCTTACACTGACAGGAACAGGAAAGGAGCCTGAATAGGGTGCTTAGCTGCTCAGGGGCATGGCCTTCACTGTCAGGTACTTTGGACTTGATGTTGAAAAAATGTATGTTTGTTTGATGAAAAATTATTCAGCCATAAAAAAGAATGACTTACTTATGCTGAAACTGCTTACTGGGCATTGTGGGTTGAAGTATGTCCCCCAAAGTTCACATGGTTAAGTCCGAACCTCAGAATGTGACCTTATTTGGAGGTAGGGTCTTTACAGAGGTAATCCAGCTAAAATGTTATTAGGACGGGCCCTAATCCAATGTGACTGGTGTCCTTCTTATGAAAAGAGGAATTTGGACAGAGTCAGAGAGGCCAGAGAAAGGTGAAGAAATGATGGCCACGTACAAGGAATAGACTCTCCTTCACAGCCTCCAGAAAGCAGCAGCCCTGCTGACACCTTGACTTCAGACTTCTTCCTCTAGGCTTGGGAGACAATACCCATCTACAGTTGTAAGCCACTGAACACGTGGTATTAGTCATGCAGCCTTAGAAAATTAGTACAATGGGTATAAAGGTTCTTTGGGCAGGGGGATAAAAGTGTTTTGGATGGCAATGGAGGATGCACAACATTATGAAAGTTCTGTTACGTGACTTTCATCTTGATTTTTTAAAAAGGGTAGACTAGATTCAGGAACAGACATCCTTAACCAAAAGTCCCTATCTTCAAGTGTGTGGGGTTTACAGAAGAGCTGGGCCAAAACATCAGACCATCTGCAAAAGCTCCAACTCACTCACATATTAAAAAATGTATAGTACCAAGGTCAACACATGACACAGAAAAGCCATTAGCCAGAAGCGAGTCAGCCCTGGCTGGGCTCAGTTCAAGTGCTTCCTGCTCTGCAGGGACGAGAACAGAACAGGGAGGCAGTGTAGGCTGATTCACGGGTGGCCAGTGGAGGGCCCAGCCTCACGGATCATTCTAGCGTCTCCAGCGCAGGGCAGACGCCAGCCTTAGCTCACTGTGACAGCATCGGTCTGGGGGTGACCTGTAGGTGCGGGGGTTGGCAGGATACTCAAGCCCAGACACCCAGATAGGCAAGACTCTGTGACTGTCCTCTCTGTCCCTACCAAGAAAATCAGGCTGGCTCTGCTCTTTGTTTGTGATCATTGGAGCTGGGCCATCCAGAAGCAGTTTATGATGTTGTTTTGTTTTTAAAGCACAAATTGATTCGCAGACATAAGCAGCAAACAGTTTGGCCCCGAAACCACTTGTTTTCTACATCACTGAGGATCCTCCTAAAAATGCCAAATCCCAGAGCATTCTAGAACTACATTCAGCATTGAGTGAGTGTTTGAATAAGGGGGAATTCAGTGCTGAATCCCGAGGCAGAGCACGGTGGGGGAATTCGTCAGTACTTGCTCAGGACTAAGGTGTGCCAGGCTGGAGTGTCCCTTCTTTAGGATGGCCTATTCTTTACCCACACATACCCACCCCACTGCCACCATTGGTACTGGGAATTGAACCCAGAGGATCTTTACCACTGAGCCACATCTACAGCCATTTTTATTCTTTTTATTTTGAGACAGGGTCTCACTAAGTTGCTTTGAGAAACTAATGTGACTCCATTTTTGAGAAACCAGCCTCTACCTCAGAGCAAAGCCTATCCAAGGAAGGGGGCGTGACCCTTGTCCTTGGAAAAATCCCCAGAGCACTCCTAGGCACATACCTACCCTGCTGAGTTGTTTTTCTGTAAATAACAGGAGAGGTCTGAGGCGCCAGGTGTCCCTGACTCAGTGAGGCTAGATTAGGACCCATAGCAACCCCCCTAGCAACCTCCAATCAGCATGAGACATGGAAAATACCTGGAATGCCAGATGACCCCCAAGTAGTTTATGGTGGTTGATAACGTGTTGGGAAGCCATGTAGTTTAGCATGTACACCCCTCGTGGCCTAAACCAATCAGTTCAAAGGAATCCCCCTCTTGTACTAACCAATCACCCCTACCCAACTTGTTCCCACCAGTGAATGTGCTAATCAATGTTAAGAGTTGTTGTTTGACTTTCCCGCGGTATGGAATGATTTGCTGTGTGATGTGACGCATAGAGTATCCCCCCAAAACCTATAAAATCTCACTGAACAAAGGACCAGACTCACTCCCTGGGACCGCTACGTCGGAAACGGTTGTGAGTCCAGGCTCGAGCCTGCAATAAAGACTCTTGTGTGATTGCATCGGATTCGGCTCCTGGAGGTCTATTGGGGTCCCACGAATCTGACATAACAGCTTAGGACCTCGCTAAATTGTTGAGGCTAGCCTCAAACTTGCCATCTCCAGCCTCAGCCTCTGAGTCGCTGGGATTACAGGCATGTACCACAGTGCCCAGCTAGGAGGCCTATTTCTTTTTGCCTTTTTTGTACTAATGTCTTACAAGGTTCCATCCTTAACTGAGTAAAAATACCACATCTCTGATCACTACTGCAAACAAACTTGTTTGTTGAAGGAAGGTCTCAAAATCGAAAGACACAGAGGGTTCTGAAGACCTCAGACTTGGTAACAGAATTGATGATGATGATGATGACAGCATTGCATAACTTTAGTGACTGCCCATTAGCAAGAGGTACTGATTAAGTGTTTTGTATTCATTTCTAATACAATGATTCAGCCAGGTAAATCTCTACAAATGAGGAAACTAAGTCTTAGAGAAGCCAAAGACTTTCTGTAGTTTCTACACAACAGAGCTGGATCTGTGCACCACAGGTCAATAATACTCTTTCTACTCCACCTGTCTTTGGGCCTTATATCTTTCACAGGTGAATTGATTTAACAAGTCTGATTTTAAATCACTATGATTTAAAAGG